TTACATATTTGAACTTAAAATTCAAGTCATTCCCTTCAACCCTTTTAATAACTTGTGGGTCGGGTTATCCCACATGGGCGACTCAGGACCCGTATTTTCTAACACATCATATGATCAGTAGATTTTATTATGTGAGGTGCTACGAAACTTAGCTTCTATTTGATCATCATTTTTGTCAAAATATATTTTTCTTTTTTTTTCTTTTCAACTACATATTTTTTAATAAAATAATATTACAAACAACCCAAAAACTTGTTTTTATTTTTAATCACACATTTCCAATCAATCTACTATGTTAAAATGCATTCGATCTATAACAAAAAGGGGGTCCATATAGGCCCTTATTCGACAAAAATGAAGACGATAAACTCTAGTTGGGGTTCACAATATTAGCTTATTGTGATGATGGGTCCCAAACTTCTTTGTGGAGCACCACAAGTTTCTAACTTATGAAAAGGTCAGCGTCAATTCATGATGGAACCTATGAAGTCAGTTTTCTTATAAAATGACAATTATACCCTTAAATTTTAATAACTCAAGAATGAGAATGGAACCCACTCCCACGTCACCTATGGAAGCCCAAAGAATAAGAAAATATAAGGCAACCTTATGATGTGTGCTTCTGCTATAGGCATTGTGCAAATTCGATAATTCGAAGCTTAATTTCAGTGAAACTTGGTTAGAGAGCAGTAGATGGAATTGCTAACTAAGGCGGATTTGCTTTCGTATGAAGCGGCAATGGATGAATTGGTTTAAGATGAAATGGAGGTGGAAGATTTGCTTTCCGATAAAGTGGTTGTGAATGGTGGTTGTAAGATAAACTGGGGATATAAACGTCTTTTTAGCAGTCAGATTGATTGTTTCTGTGAGGTTTGGACTGCACTCGCACAATTTTCCTAGGTTGGGTACTCATTCACCTTAAACAACAAAGGTTAAGGACCCTAGCTGGAATTTACTTTATCTCTTTTCATTTTGACTTTTGTAGGCGCGTGTTATAATATTTCATCAGAAAAACTCAACATTTATTGCAAAATTATTACAATAAGAAAGATAAAAGTTCCTTAAATTTAAATGTACTAATTTTACACAAGGATGAAAGAGCAAAATAAAGACATAAGCTGAATATAATAGAATTTAAATAGGCCACAAGCATTTTGACGACTCTTTGTCCTAATTACGTACTATTCAATCTA